CTCACCACAGACCCATACTTACGGCGGGCTCTGTTAATCAATAAAAAGACCCATGCAAGAGAAAATTCCTACACACCGGATTCGAGACGTGACCTAAGGATATTCTGCTTCAACTACAGTCCTCCGCTCTACCAACTGAGCTAAGGTCGGATTTTATTATACTCGACCCATGAGTACTTATATAAAAAATAAGTGACCACAAAGGTTTGCTTTGAGTTAGGATACACATAGTAATCCACATCTAAAAAGTTGTAAACAAAGTAAGAATGTATACAAACAATATAAGAAAATCGCATAGTCTCTTAAATTAGTCTCGTAAATTTAGGAAAGTGATAGGTAAACCAGTAGCGGTCTTAAGTATAGTGAAAAGAACTTTTATAATTCCACTCATTCCCGATAATAAACTACACATGTACGCATTGTCTTAAACTAATTTTTTATATAATAATGAGTTTGTAGTTATACTCTTGTCAAACAATATTGAAAAGAAACTAAAAACAAAAACTTCAGAATATAATTTCGGACCTACCGGATTCGAACCAGTGACCTAAGGATAATCTGCGTCAACTACAGTCCTCCGCTCTACCAACTGAGCTAAGGTCGGTTTTGTATTGTAAATATATATGCATGTAGATGATTCAAAATAAGACTTTTACTCAATCTGAAAATTGTCGAGAAGAGAAGTACAAAGAAAGGTGACTTTATAGCTTTCACGTTGTCTTATATATTGATTCGCATTTTTATATGAATACTAAAAACTAAATAGAAGCTAACATGATCGATGGAAAACCATTCAAAATAAAAGTTCCATAAAAAGTAATACACAATTTTAGAAACTTACAAACACAATAAATAAAAACGTGAACGGCAGGATTCGAACCTGCACGGGCAAAGCCCACATGATTTCTAGTCATGCCCGATAACCACTCCGGCACGTCCACTTTCGTTAAAGTATACTCGTATTTCAAAATAGACCAAGCCATATACAATTCTCTACACTAAATGTGGATCTCGAGTGAAAAGTAAACGAGCCTAAGCATGATGCAATTTATGAACTAAACAAACAAGTTTAAAACCCTAAACAAAATTTGGCTATCTTGATTTTTCACTACTCTAATACATTGTTAGAAATAGGAATTTATTTTTATTTAAAGAGCTCCTTTGTTGATATTTTTGGTGATGACTAACATATATACATCTAGTTTTGAGTGTGTATTATGATTGTCTATGTATTTGAAAAACAAAGCCACCAAAATCGTGCAAGAAAGTGGCAAAGGGCATTTCACTACCCTTGGAAGAACGTTGACATTTTCTAGGCACAACCCTCAAGCCTTTGATTATAATTATGCCTATATATTTTTTTTTTTCAAACCTCTGTAACTATATCTTGATTAAATGAAAGAAACTAGGAAAGCTCATAATTTTTAGAAATTTTGAAATCATTTCTTATGGTATCAATATTTGAGAAATTTAAACATACCAACAGTTTAAGAATTCGAACAAATCTT